CACCTGTATGGAGCAGTGGGGACACATCGGGTCCCCCACCCCACTTTCATCTTCTTGACACTGTGAGCCACTGTGCTGGAGGAGAAGGCACATTCCATGCTGCCCTTCCTCGAGCTGCATGCAGTCAGGACCAAAGACGAGCCACCCAAGTGGCAGGTGAGGCAGGGTGTCAGCACGCACTCAGGGAGCACACATTAGTCCACATATGCCAGGCACAGTGCACACTGGATGGCCTCGTCCGGGGGATGCTCATGTTCTATCAGTCGCTGCGTTACATTTCTGAATCACACACAGTAAGAGAAGCCCTGTGCAAGAGAAGCGGCCCACAGACAAGGTGCAGATAGCCCAGCAGCAGGGCAGCTGTTCTAAAGGGCAGCTTGAGCGAAATACTCTTCTCCCAACCTCAGTACCCAGCGTCCTTTGGGGCACAAGCTCTTATTGGTAATCAAGACCAGATTTCTCCATGTGTCTGACATTAGGAGATCAGCCTTTTATGATTCCCTGAAACATCTGGGATCTTTTCATGTTCAAAGAATGACACTCAGTTTGTTTGCCAGCTGTTTACCTCAGGAGTCCTCTCTCTTTCACTCAGCCTAGCATGGGTCACAGTTTTGGTTTGGTGTGGCTTCAGTACTGGGGATTGAACCCAGTGCTTTGGCACTGAGCTACATCCCTGGTCCTTTTTTATTATTTATTTTGAAACAAGGTCACACCGGGTTGAAAATTGCCCGGGCTGGGCATGAACTTGCTATTCTCCTGCCTCACCCTCCCAAAGTTCTGAGATTAAAGGTGTGTACCATCACACTTGGCTGAGCCACAATCTTCCTGTTAGGTAAAGAAGCTCTTTGGACTGTCTAGCAACATTTATTTTAAATAAACCCTAAGGTCAGCATGTGACTGACACGAATAAGCTTGGGCGATCGCTCAGCAGCCACTTCCTGGGCCAGGCACCCTAAGTGTGACAGGCGGTTCTCAAGGCAGGGACAAACCATTACCAAGTAATGTGTCTTTTTCTTCAGACATGTTCCTCACATCTGTGAAGTGAGGCTGAGCTTTGGACATAAACAGTGAAGGTCTGTAAACAGTAGCTTAAACAAGCCATTTCCCTCTAACTTAAAAATCTAGGGCTGAAGAGCAGGCATGTGGCACGCGCCTATAATCCCAGCACTCTGGAGGCTCGTGAGGAGGAATTCAAGGCCAGCCTGAGCCACATAGTAAGAACAAGAACACCTTGAACTTCTAGGCAAGGCCCTGACTCAGAAAAAAAATAAATAAATGAAAATATCTAGGGCTGAATGGACACCACCCAGTGCCTGGGAGCAAGGCGACTTCCACTAATGGCTTTTCACACTTCCTCCACTGCCAAGTTACACTGTAGCCTGAATGGCTACCAGAGTCCCAGCTATTACACTGACATCCAGTGAATGAGAAGGAAAATAGAGTGCTTCAACTCAGTTTTTAAGGAAACTTCTAGAAATATTACTAAACATGTCTACTCACACTGATTACTTGCTGTAGTGGCGGTTTAGGAGTATAGTCTTTATTACAAAATTATTCAGCTAAAAACATGGGTTCTTTTATTTCCTACATGAGTGCCAGCAGTGTGTGCTACTGAAAGACAATGAGCAGTCTCTCCCACGGGAACCTTACTCGGGCGCACGCCCCTCACCAGCGGGATGCAGGACCTGGGCCGAACAACCGCCTGGCACCGCTCCAGAACAGCAGCCCTGCTATCTGTACAACGACTATTTGCCTAAGAGGCAGTGAAACCAATGCCGACGAGGAGCGATTTGGGTTGCTTTCCAATTTTCATTTGGAAGCACCACCTCCTTCAGAAGGAGTGAGGCACCTTCGCTGCTCACCAACTAGCGCGGAGCTGTGCGAGTAGGCTTGCATGAAGGGAGTCTTTCTCATACATTGGCTGCTCCACTTGCTATTTTTAGGGGCCATCTCTCTGTCTGCTCTTCCTGGAGCTACAGGCACCCAACACCACTCCCAAGCGACTGTGCTAATGACCCAGCCATTCAGCACCTTCCTTCCCAGCCACAGGCTTCTAAGCATTCACTCTGTCCCCAGCCCCGTGGACCCCAACAGCCAGCTGCTCAGAATCCTCCCCACTCCCTGGGTTTTTAACAGCTCTCTGGACTTGGAAGGCTCTGATCACCTCAAGCTATAAAGGCCACTCTCCTTGAGGTAGATCTGAGGCCACTCTAGGAACAAGGAGTTGCAGAGGCTGAGACTAAGAATGTGCTTCGAATCCTTGATTCTGCTAACAACAGTGAGAAAAATGGCAAGTCCTCGACTTCTGGCATCTTGGTGAGCACTCAGCTATTAGTTTTGTTCCAATATTTTTCCTTCCCTACGGAAATGAGCGCTGGACTTGCTATCAACATGAGAACTTTTGGAGACATCCAGGCTTGCACCGGCATTTCACAGCATCAGCAGCCCAGGCTGCCCATATGTCCGCTTTGCTATACAATCAGGAGAAAGAGCCCATCCAAGTTCCAAAAGACATTTAAAAGTGGCCCAAAGCAACTGAAATAAGGAAGCAGCTAAGTGGGAGAAAGTGAAGGGGGAAACACAGGTGAACTCAGCAAAACACCACTTCTGCAGGGAGGCTACAGCCTGACAAGACAGCCTCCTGTTGAGGGCTCACAGTGGGAGAGGGAGGGAAAACCCACATATCTCAGCAAGTGCAGGTGTGCGGTGGGGCAGAAAGAATCACAAGGGCTCAATCTAAAAACCTGGTGTCTTGGCGGGAGAAAACAGGAGCCACGGGGCTGCAGTTACGGGGCCCCCACCATGCCAAGCCCAGCCTTACCTCCAGACCTTGTCCCCAGAGCAGGTTTCAGAAACCCAGTGCATTCAACATGGGCATTAGAGAGGCAGTCACACACCTCAGGCTTATCTATCAATTAAGAGTTAAGGAAAAAGTGAGGACAGTGGTAGCACACTTACCACCATGAGTGGTAGAAAAACGCTATTGTTGGAGCATATGAAATTTTGGCTAAATATTTTGCAAAAAAATTTAAAGCTAAGGGAAGCAATTTCTCCTTGAAGGAAGATCACAAAACAGAAATGTCTCAGAGAAAAGATGGCAAGAAAACAGGAGCTGGAATGTGAGCTTGCAGAACTTAGAAAAGCAGGCAAAAACAGTGACTGAAGAAATGGAGAACCAGGAGAAAATGTGGGAAGGGACAGAGAAGCTGAGAGAGGCAAACACACAAACTGGAGTGGAAATAAAGAGATTTGAAACATTAGAGCAGTGGTAGGTACAGAATAAGACAAAGATTACTGGATCCCCAAAGGCTGAAATGGAGCAGAACACATTCTTAAAACAGGATTCAAGAGAACTCTCCCCAAACAAAAGCAGAGTCAAATCTGATTTGTGAGAGACAGCAATATAGAACAGGGAACAGGTCAGCATTGAGGAATATCCTGATAAAATTATTCTACTTTTAAGGATGAGAAGTAAAATGATCAAGCCTGTGAAATGTGTGTGGGAGGTGACCGGATTCAGGATGTAAGAGGCGCACTGTTAGCAGGTGTGGCCTCATAGAAAGAGGTGGGTCAGCGGTGGCCATGCCGTGACCTGTGACCTGGAAGGGATAACCTTCCCCAGCCCTCCCCTATCCTCCCTCTTCCTACCACCTCTTTCTAACTCTGCTTCCCAGCTGCCCTGAGGTGAGCAGCTCTCCTCTGCCATGCCTTCCTGCCCTGCAGCCAGCCGACTATGGACTAAAAATGGGGATCAAAATAAACTCCTCCTCCTTTACATTGTGGGTGTTGTGTACTTTTGTCCCAGCAAACATAAAGTGACTAACACAAGGGATCTTATGCTCACAGGACCGTAAGCAAATTTCTCGATGATATTTAGTCACCTAGGAAAGTGATAAAACTGAGGTAAAGACCTGGCAGTGAGCACTGAGTATCTTCATCTAGGGAAAGAAGAGTTCATAAAACAAAGAGAGAAGCAGGAAGGATTGAATGTGGAAGCCATGTTGTATCCCTGACAAACCGGCATCCTGGCCGTGGAGAAAGGACACAGTGTAAAGGCAGGAGGCCGGGGAGAAGGCGGATGAGAGCGAGAAGGCGGATGAGAGGGAGAGAGACAGGACGTGGTGATTTCTCCTCCGCCAGTGAGGCCACGCGGCTTGTGGAGGGGGACAAGTTAGAGAGGTAACTGGCACGCTTCTGGAACACCCAAGTGCAGTCTGGACGAATCCCAAATCCCAGACCTCGCGTGTTCTGGCCCTGCCTGACCCTGCAGACAAATCTCTCCCTGACAGTCAGCTCTTCACCCACCTCGCCGCCTCCTTGAGTCACATGGCTGCCATCTGTGCCCACACTTTGCTTGAGTGACCACCCCGAGGATGCATGTTGGCTTTCGGCAGCCCTGCTCCAGAGCGCGCTGCGCCTCTGCCCTCCACCTCAATGCTCCAAAGAGGCCTGCCTGCCTTTCTGTGGAAATCAGTCCTCAGCCACAGCCAGTGCACCTCCACGCACAACACGCACCGCACACCTGTGTAAGGACTCATTTAATATGCGCCTCTCCCCTGAGACTGTGAACTCCAAGGAGTTCTAATCCACTGATGTTCTAGGAATCTAACACAGGTCTGGACGTATGGGAAGTGCTGGATAAGTGTACACTGAGAGACTAACATAACAGCACCTCATAAATCGTGCTTTCTCTGCCTTATCTCCTTTGTACTTACAACGCAACAGGTAAGAAATCACTTCGAAAAGCAATAGTGAGAAATGGCACCATCTTTAAAACATTCTATCTCATATCCTTTCCTAAGAAGGCAAGAAAGAATAAAAAAGCTTGTTAGACTTTCTGAGAGTACTGACTGACTTTTCTCACAAGCCATCCATTCATTTGTAGATCTAGTAGAACTCACCTCTGGTGTGCTGGGTTGCAGCACAGTTTTGCTGTGTGTTTCCACACACATTTGTCACACAGTAACAGCAGAGGACAAAGCTAAAAGCCCTTCACTTACTTAGGATGTTCGAACTTGTCTATGAGGTCAACCTTCTCCACCAGGTCTCCTCCGATGGTCCGGACTAAGTCATAGAAATCATTCTCTGTGTAGTTCTCAGATGGCAACCAGAAGGAAATGTCATTTGTCAGCGCAGGGTATTTGCTAAGAGGCTAACAATAAAAGAGAAGAGAAAGACAGGATGCATTTGTTGGTCGGATGAGAAGGAATTTTTCATTGAAAACTTAACTTGGTTAAATAGAAAATGCCAGAAAAACATTATTTTAGCATCTGAATTTTCAGGAACAAAATGAACTGAAAAGACAACTCAATATTCAAAATTAGCAAACTCCATTCCAAATGCTACATAGTTCTTATAACATTCATATGTAACAGTACCACACATTATACTTACATTGCAATTAATGTCCAATCTAGCATAAAGTAATTTGAATACATCGTATTCTAGTTTTTCCCATTTGAATACTAGAGGATAAAAGTTCAGATTTAATTAACATGCAATTCATTAACTTCTTGAGACACTTTCAGGAAACAATCTTAATGGAGAAATAAGTAAGGGCTTGTCAAACCTGGTATTTCAATTAGCAATGTTATTATTTGCTAGTATTTCTAATTATTAAAATAAAAGACTAGGTTGATAAGTAGTCATTTATTTTTCCAATTATGCCTTAAAGGATGTGATAAACAACACTTTCCCCATTTTATTCTACTTTTTTCAGGCTTATTAGCTTATTCATTATATTGGATAGATATTTACAATCAGAGATGTTTAGAAGTTACTGCATTTGTATACATCTCTAGCCTATGTACAA